TTAACACTTGGATACTAGTGCAGGTCACCCATGTCTCGGTGTGCTTTTTCACTGCAGTGCCACTGGCTTACTGTGTTCATTTCCACATATCCCAGTACCATTGCAGTAACCACTGACAAAGCTGAATGCCAGTTGCAAATGAGTAAGTGTGTGTATCGGAGAGCTGCTCTGCAGGGCAGACTGTAGGGCCAAATGAAAATGCCAGTCCCTGGTGACACACTGTGCCCCTTAATTTGAACCCTCAAACAAGAGTACTGAGCTGGTGGCCTGCCAGCACCCATTTGCAAACAAGTAGAGCTGATTTCTGAGGGATCAATGACTGGGTATACACCATTGGATCTGTAGACAAAATAAAAACAAATAAGCACAGAGGTCAAAATCTGTACCTCTGTCCAATGATGACTAAACTCTGAGCTTTTGTCCCAGTTACAAATGTTATGATCACAGAAGTCAGATTCAGCGGGGCCATTTTTCTGGCCAGAAGGGGATTCATCCATGACTCACTGTGCAGCAGCTTCCAGCTATTAAGACACCGTCTGCCCCCTGCCAGGGTCCGACCAAAGCACGCACTGAATCCATGTTTATTTTCAATAAGAATATTGTGCATTTTTTTCCATATTAAAATCTTCACCCCTAATACTCTTCACAGCCCAGTGCTGGCCAGCTGAAAAGAGGCTAACTAGGAGATAATATTGTATAATTTGCTCTTGATCTCACCACTGCTAGAGTCATTAAGCCTTTACAAGACAGGGTAGGAACCATCGACGTGTGGATTTGGAAGGAGTTCCTATTATGCTATAATTCCAGAACCTGAGATACATCTGACAAAAAAGGTCAACATGACTAGATTTTTCCATATCTCCTGCCACAGAAAGGTGTCTGTTTTCTCTGTTGCCTTTTGAGGGTGTGTGTCTCTGAACCCAGCACAGGACCAACCCCACCAGCATCCCACTGCCTTGTGGGGACAATTCAAACAGAAGCAAGGAACACATCCGGCAAGGCTTCCCTTGTTTTAAACAAACCTGACAGGGGCTGGTGCAATAGCACTGCAGGTAAGGCATTTGCCTTGCATGTGGCTGACCTGGGTTCGATTCCCAGAATTCCATATGGTCCCCTGAGCACCACCAGAAGTGATTCCTGAATGCAAAGCCAGGAGTAACCCTTGTGCATCACTGGGTGTGACCAAAAAAGAAAAAAAAAAGGCCCTGTCTTGTAAAGGCTTAATGACTCACCACTCGCACTCAGTGATGAGAAGCAGATTCGGGAGACAGCCTGCTGGGTCCATGTGCGGAGAGGGGAACCATGGTGATGGTGGTGGTGGTGGTGGTGGTGGTGGTGGTGCTCCCCTGAAGCTGGCGGGCAGCTTTGCCAGAGCCGAGTGCAGCAAAGTGAATTATTTAGTCTCCAAAAAAACTCAGGGAGCTTTGCATTTTTACTTTTTCCCTGAGTCCTTTGGTGATTTGTGGGAGGCAAGAGGCAAGCAGAGCCTGGATCACACACATGCCTTCAGCTGGAATACAGTAGCAGCCAGACTGGAAGATAAAAGTCCCCTTACAAAGAGCACTGGAGTGGGAGTCAAGAGGCCTGGGTTCTAACTGATTAGCGATGTGAAAGGAGCAGGGCAGAGGAAGAGTTTAAAGACAGCAATTTCCTTCCGAATCTATTCTTACCAGAGAGGTGGTCTTGGTGAAGATACTTCTCTACTTTTTGACTCAGTTAACTCTTATTTATAATAATAAGAGTTTTTAAGTGGACCTTTTTTGCATCAGGCAGAGTTACTTTGCCTACATTCGCTCATTTGTTTCTGAAAACCTTCACAAGAAGGTGTTATCTTCATTTAATAGCTGAGCCTGCAGAGCCCCCCGCCCCCCCCCCGCCCCCCAGGTGAGTTGACTTGCTATGCACTGGAAGCAGAGGAGCGAGGACAGAAAACAGAGCATATGCCTTTAACCCCATGCTTAACAGCACAGGACAAGGATCGAGATGTCGGGCTTCTGCAAAGGATCCACATGCCTCTAGGGTACACAAGAGCATGTGACCATCGCTGCTGTGAGCTTAGCATTTGCTCACCCAGTGCTTCTCAGAACCATAGGAAAAGGGGACCCAAATTGATTTTGCTGACATTGTAAGGCATGGCTGATCTTTTAGCCAAGGCTGCAGCAGAAGCTGCTTCAAGGAAACCTGGGAGGTCAGGGAGCATTTTAATTAAAACATCAACATGGCATAAGGCAAGAGACAAGCTACTCTGAGCTCCATCCAGCAGATTTCTCTCAGCAATGCTAGGATCTCGAGAGGAAGCAAGGACTGGTGTTGGCAAGCAGCAGGGAAAGAGCTGCCAAACAGGAAAGCTTTGCCTGAAGAAGGAAGAGGGCAAGAGAAACAGGGTCCTTTAAGACGTTGTTGTTGGGGGAGGGCATTTGCCTTGCACGCAGCCAACCCGGGTTCAATCCCCAGTATTCCATAAGGTTCCCCAAGCACTGCCAAGGGTAATTTCTGAGTGCAGAGCCAGGAACCCCTGAGCACTGCTGGGTGTGACCCCAAAAAGAAAAAAGAAGAAGACGATGAAGCTATTAAGCACTTTCCTTTGCCCTACAGAGGGGCAGAGCAGAAAACCAGAACCGACTCCATCCCCCAGACTGCCAACCAAGTGCCTGCCCATGAAAGACAGCGTATGATCCTTACAGCAACTCCTGGCTCCAGGCAAACACCGTTCTCATTCTATACATGAGAAAGCAGAGATTTGTGTAATCCACAGAGCATGAACAAGGCCTCCAAAGGGGTTCTCTTTCCACCGAGCTGGATATGGGACCAGATCACCAGGCAAGCAGAGAAAAATCCTCAGTGGAAAGAGCCAAGAGCACGTGACTGTCCCTGTGCCACCCTAATCACCAGGGCATGCAATGAGCCTGTTCTGCAACTGTCAAAAAGCACCTGCTCACACCCAAGTACAAACTACCGCACGATTATCTGCCTTCTGTTCTAAGGATCTTCACTGCAGAAAGCCATTCCACCAGCCCATTCTGATCCATTTGGAGCCCAAAGTCAGGTCAGAATTTCTCTTTCGCAGTTTCTCCATACAAAGCCCTTTAGTCCACCTTGAAGAAAGGACTACAGTTGCCAAGTGAACTGTTTTCCTTTTAAAGGTTGGAAAGAACTCTACTAGCCTTTCTCCCTAGTTTGAGACTGTGGATTGTGTGCCTGGTTTACGATGTTATTAAAACACAAAGAGGGGGTCTCAAAGTTTACAACCAACCCCCAGAGTGGGAAAGTCAAGAGAAAAAACTTCATGAAATGTGGTTCCTGTCCCATCCACCTCCTGCATGTGACACAACCCAGGCATGACTAGTTCACTGCCTATCCATGCGAGCTGTTTGTGGGGGTGGAAGAGTTAAGTAGGGCTGTAAAATCAAGTCTGTGACAGGGGGAGAGGGCTCTGAACCAAGCTGGGCACAGTCATCAGTTTCAGGTTTTACTCACTCTCAACATTAAGCACTGAACCCCACTGAGCTTCTGTGTTTCCATCTGCGCAGTGAGGGCAGGAGCATTCATTCCACATGGACTATTCTTTTTGGGCTACCGCAGATAAAAGGCATCTCAAGAATCCATGTAAAACACTGATGAAGCTGTGAAGTGGTGAAGCTGTTCATTTCTTTCAGCCACCACATAGCTGGGTGCCAGGGCAAAGAACACAACACTGGAGGTGCCCAGTGGACAGTTGTGAAAACGCAGGCTCTCACGTGACCGATAAGATCACCTTCACTCCATCTCCCTATCCCAAGACCCTGCAGACACATCAATAGCAAGGCCCATACTGGCCAGATGCCTCCCGGGCCTCGAGATTTTTCTGGCCCTTATCAAAAGTTCACAGCACATTTTGCATCCAAAGTGGAGATCTATCCCTTAAAGAAAGAAAAGGGTTTAACTCTGACTTTACACCTGCATGGAAGTATCCTTCTTAGTAATGAAGAGTTTGTCAAGTAGCAGAGAGAGAGAGAGAGAGAGAGAGAGAGAGACAGAGAGACAGAGAGAGAGAGACAGAGAGACAAAGAGAGAAAGACAAAGAGACAGAGAGACAGAGAGGGGAGAGGAGAGAGAGGAAAGCGAGGAGAGAGAAGAGAGAGCGAGAGACAGAGACAGACAGACAGACAGACAGACAGACTGACAGACAGACAGAGGCTAAGGGGCTTCCTTGCAGTAGCCAAGGGGCTTCCTTGCCTTGCATGCTGCAAACCTGGGTTCCACCCACAGTAGCACGTATTATCCCCTAAGCACAGAGCCAGGAGTAAGCCCTGAGCACAGTCAAGTATGGTCCCAATTGCCCTCCAAATAAATAAAGTTTGTGAAGTATCTCAATATTCATGAACTCTTCCTCCTCCCACTTACAATGAAGAAAAATGGTCATGCCTGGTTGTACAGGTGCTCCGCATGTCAAAGAAGGGCCCGGTCTACTATGTCCCATTTTATTTTCACTTGGACACTACACCACTGGATGAGAGAACAGGACGACATGCCAGAGATCACAGTGAAATCTGTAGGCACTTCCTAAACCATCGCTGTGCTGCTGTCATGGGACAATCCTTAACAAAGCCATTTTCCTCCTTCTCTGGGGTTCCCCTTAGATAGCATAGTGGCTCAGAAGTCAGACTCTGCCAAAGCAGAGCAGCCAAGTTCAAATCCCAACTCTACCATTTGCTAATGGAGTGACTAGAGCCAACACATTTTATTCGGAGGATCCTTTTCTTCTACAAAAGATGAGAACAGTCTACAAATAGTTGTAAGGATAATTCATGCAAAGTAGTTGGGGATGGTATTAAGTATACTTGGATCATACTTAAAATGTATCTATACACTTATAAGTGAAACTCCAGCTAGTAATAGTCTCTTCACTGCATAAAATAGAGGAATTTCATGAAAGGAAATGGTGCTGGATCTCTATGTCTGTGGGGGAGTGGGTGATCAGTGAAGTAAGAGATGGGGAACCGGGCTGGCTGGTTGCTTACCGCCAGGATAGCAATGACGATCCCCACTGCACAGAGCACGGCATCATTGATCGTCTCCCCAGTTTTCAGTGGATACTTGATGCTCTCATCATTGCAGTAAAACCCTCGCTGGTAAGGCTTGATGGTGCTGGTCTCGATGATGATGAAGGGCAGGCCAGCTGGTGAACATGGAATGAACCAGACAGAAAAGGGGGAGGGAGAGAGAAAGGGGTAACGTTAATATAAGGAGGCCAAAAAAGAATGACCCACTACCAAAAAGGGCACCCCAAATCCCAACATGTTCAGTGACATCAATTCCCTGCATTTGGAGTGATCTGCAGCCTACAGAGAAATTCCACAGCCTGTGGCTTCTTCCTCCCCTCCCGCAGCTATTAGATGAGAATAGCATCGTCTTCTTGTCTGGCCCAAGAGCACAGAGGGGGAGCAATGCGTGGCTAAAAACAAAAGCCTGTAAGTTGAGGAGATGTTCCAAGGGCTGGATCAGTGGCTCTGCATGCAGGAGCCCTAGGTTCTATCCCAAGCACCCTATCTGGAGCACTGCTGGGCATGGCCCTCCAAACCAAAATAGATAAACAAAACTGAAAACCTGATTTACAATATTTACTAACAGAGCCCTACATCAACTGATAGTTCACTCTGCCTCTGAGGGCATTTTTCTTGGAAGTCTGCACCAGATCATCTTTGAGAAGCTTGCTCATGGCCATGCGAAAGGTTCAGTGAAGGCCTGGTGGTCAGAGAACTGGGAAGTCAATCCTAGAACCACTGATTTTTGGCTGTGGGCCCTTTCAACTCTCAACTCTTCCAGAACCTTCCAGAATCTCCCAGAACCTCAGTCTTCTCGTCAAAGGTGAGCACAAGCCTCTGGTCGCACTGAGTTCGGCACATAGTAGCTGATCTTTGAACGCAATTTTTCCAGTGTTTGCTTTGACTGCTCAAAGAATAAGCAAGACTGAGCAGAGCTGACAGGGCCCCACCTCCCATAGACCTGAAGCCAAGCCCAGGGGCATCTGGGAGCACTGGGTGCAGCTGCTCTGATAAGCCGGCTCAGATTGCCATTCCTTTAAAGGTCCTGGCCAAAGGATTCCATCAACTGTCCAGAAAAGGGCCATGTAACCCTGGAGCAAAAAAAGTAAAAGCCAACATGTCTCCTGCCTGAATAGTGCAATCAGTGTCTGGCCTTCAATGCCTCTAACCCACAAGCCCACCCGCTTACTTCCGGGCTAGCAGCAAGTCCCTACCTTGCCAGTGTCTGCAAAGTCTCCCTTGCCCAGAAAAAGATAAGTCCCAAAGGCTGTCTCATTCTCCCCCCATCCCCACCCCACCTGAATACTCCTTCCAAGAAAACGGGACACCCTCACTCTATCTTGGTTCAAGCTTTCACATCAGCCCTCCCCTTCCCACCACCCAACTTCAATACCAAGTGTGAATGTCATCTCACAAGCAAAGGAGAGCCAGGGAATGTTAAGACTGGTACCATCACCTATCCCCCAAAAGTCTTATTCATGACGTCAGCTGTCACGTCAGATGTCAGAAATATACCAACCAGAGATTTGTTCAGAGAGACCCATTCAAAGCCTCTAAGTCCACCCCCCAAAGTGTCTACATCCCTTATTGAACTTCACAAATTGGTTTCATCCAAATGTGAATTTCATTAGCTGGAAAAAGAAAAAAAAAATCCCAAGATCAGTGGTTGTTTGAAAGATAAAATTCCACTTCCATGTTTTTCAAAAAGAATTAAATTCATGTCCTGTTGCTCAAAGCCCCTGCCTGCCCCTTAAAGAAAAAAAAAAAACTGCACCATAAACTCCACAATTTTTCAATTACTTTTGAGTCCAGACCGGCAGCGATAAAAATGCTCACTTTCCAAAAAGTGTATTTATGTATCACTGTGCATACACACATGGATTTATTTGATTTTATTCTTGGGATTTATTTGAATTCTACGGCTATTTATTTTGTGACCCCCTAACTGCTTCCTGCTAGAACAACAATTTACTTTATCAAATTCATAGTGGTGCTTTGAAAAGAAAGAACAACAACACATCCCAGCATTGTACCCGACCTTTTCAAAGCAAACACAGAAGGACCCTGGAAAGCAATAACCATGAGCTCTTGAAATCCTGTCTGTCTTTGCAGTGGCATAAAGGGGGTACAGGAGGCCGGGGGGGGGGGGGGAGGGCATATTAGGGCTTGGAAATGGCAGGGGCAGTTGGCTATTCTTAGGTCAACGGCTGGGAGAGAAAAGCTATCATATGGCCTCGAACCATCTCGTTTGCACAGCCGAAACATCTTGAAACATGGCCAAGTTGGCCATGAAAAGGCGCCAAGAAGCCAGCAGCCTGATATTAATAGCCCACCTTAAAGTTCCACACATCTCTGTGATGAAAACGTTGAGCTTTTCGTCTGTGCGTAGTTGCAGCCTCCATGTGCCCTCGAGCCAAAGTGCTGCTAATAAACTCCGGAAGGGAACAGATCCGAGTTCCTGATATTTGTGTTCCTCTCAGAGGCCCTAGCTCTGCTTTTAACAGCGTTCACATGATCAGCCTATAAAGCCTATGTTTCTAAGGACAATAAAAACACGTATAAAAGTGCCGTGGTGTTAGACGGAAGTAGGTTAATGATCTCAGCTCTGCTTCCTGCTACCTGAATGAATGAGGTCACCTTTCATCTGCTCAAGGGGAAGTGACGATCTGGTTTGGGTGCTGGCTAGGAAAATCTAATGAATCCCTGCGTTCATTCATTGATCCAGAAAGTGACGTCTTAACTACGGGTATGCAGGACCAGGAAAACCAAGATGATACAAGCACTAGGATTGGCAGAGAGCTGGCAGTCTGGTCGGGAAAGGTACCTGATAATTAAATAAAATGAGCAAGAAGATGCTTCCGTCAAAAGAAAACAGGCCACAGCGTTGGGTGACGTCAGCACCAAGTCTAACAGACACTGGCTGTTGAGTAGTAGTTAAAAGGAAGAAGAGGCGCATCCTACTGGGAAGGCAAGAAAAGAAATTCAGACATGTCAACCCCTCTGCCCTGTTCTAAACAGGGAGCAAGCCAAAGGCTTTTTCTTCCTTTCTCGCCTAAGGCTTGGGGAGGTTTCCGGTTTTGATTATGTGGATGATGGCCACAAAGAGACCAGCAGTTGGATCTGAATGTGTTCTGTTTATTTTCTTGAAAGGCATGGAGATAGCATTTAGAAAACCCAATGGCTTTTTCTGTCTCCCCTACAAACTTGTGGTGTGATTGGGGGTGATGCCAGTCAAAACTTGACTCTGCTCCAGGAAGAGGGTAACCTCAGATTCCCTGCAGTTGATGGGAAAAGCAGAAACATTTCCCCCAATGGGGCAGCGAGACCTCTTGAGACCTAACACCCGGCTCTGTCTCTCCAGGACACTGGGAAGAGGCTGCCCTTCACCAGGGCAGCAGCGCCATCCCGTACATTGGCACCGTCTGTACTACTGACCACTGTACTTCCTGTCACTTCAAGAAAATTCCCCGGACTAGCCACTGGGAATTAGAGATGAAAACATCACAGCACCAGTCCTCAAGATTGTAAGAAATCTTGGGGGCTGGAGCAATAGCACAGTGGGTAGGGCGTTTGCCTTGCATGCGGCCGACCTGGGTTCCCATATGGATTCCCAGCATCACATATGGTCCCCTGAGCACCGCCAGGAGTAATTAATTCCTGGGTGCATGAGCCAGGAGTAACCCCTGTGCATCGCTGGGTGTGACCCAAAAAGAAAAAAAAGAAAGAAAATAAAAGATTGGAAGAAATCTCAAAAACAAGTGCACTGAAATATCCCTAGTGTGATGACTGACCCAGGTTTTTGCAATACAAGACCAGGAAAGACCACTCTCCTCAGCGCACTAATGAAGCCCCACAGGGGACAGGAGGCGGAAGCTGACCCTCACACGAATTGGTTTCTGGGAAGAAAAGGCTAAGTAAATTCAGTGTACTTTAGAGACTCCAGGAAGCCTATCAGCAAAATGAAAGGCCTTTATGAAAACACATGTAAGCATTGCTACAGGGTTGGAAGACAAATCAATCGTAGTAGAAAATGGAGTAAAGGGGAAAGCAGGTAGGGGAATAATTAACATCACTAACACTGACTAAACAATTGGGATGTGTCTGGAGTGCTGAGGGCTGCTGTATAAACCATGTTGTCTGACCAATTCAGGATGTTCTGGCTACTTACTGTGTTACAGAGATGAAGGGAATTTAATCCCAACCTTCAAAGCAAATGGAAGAAACAGTCAAAGAGACTCACATGTCCAGTCACCCTCAGGTTCAAAGGGATTTAACCAGGGTCATCTACACATGAATGAAGGCATTAGATGGGGTTTAAAGGACCTGACCTTTTATTTGTTTTGGTTTGAGGGCCACACCCAGCTGTGCTCTAGCCTTACTACTGCCAGTGCTCAGGGGACCATATCTGGTGCCAGGATGAGTGTGAGGCAAGTGTCCTACTTACTGCATTATCTCGAATGATCTGACTCTCGGGTTCTTTCTACAGTGAATGACTTTTCCCAAACTGAGAAGGACTAAGAGTTATAATCAATCAACCAAAGCTCAATAAATCTCATTGCCTCTGAAGGGTGGGGGGAAAGCGCTTTGTTAGAAACAGTCCAGGCAATAGCACTGGGTAAAAATGTTCACTGAACATCTACCAAGCACCAAACACATACTCAGCACCTAATTTAATGAAAACTCTGAAACCAAATGCCTTGAAATTGATATTTACCCATAACGAGAGGTATAGTACAAGCTATTTTTGAAGAGAAGCACCAAACATGCACACACATCCACACATCTGGTGATTCTGCCTAGACTCAAGCCTTTCTCCTTTTAATCAAGGATCAATTAACTTCCTATACCTCCCGGGAGCTCCTGGGATGTGTAGACTGCAGAGGAGGTGAAATCCAAACTCACTGACAAACACTTAATGGGCAGCAAAATCAAAGCCTGAAGAAAGGCCCCTGTGTTGGGTTCGGGCCTTTGAAACTTCTTGGGCTTTGAAAAACTAACACGGGGGCAGATTGGGCGGCTGGGGTGGGGTGTACAAAAACACAGGCTAAGTTTTCGCAGCCCACCCATTGATAAAGTCATGTGGGAAATGTTACGATGTGACCCAGCCTCACAGCCCTGCTCCTTTCAGTCACAG